AGAATGTCAATTCGATCGATTTTATATTTGCAAGAAATTTAATTTGACCGAATATCAATTTGTATGAAACACTTTTTTGTAGAATTTTAATTTATCAGAATTGTAATTTCATAGAATATTAATATTGCCAAATCTAATTTTGGTAGAAATCTTCTTTATCACAATGATCATTATTCGAATCCTCAAAACTCCTATAAAAAATAGAATTAGGAGTTTTGAGGATTCGAATATTGATCATTGTGATAAAGAAGATTTCTACCAAAATTAGATTTGGCAATATTAATATTCTATGAAATTACAATTCTGATAAATTAAAATTCTACAAAAAAGTGTTTCATACAAATTGATATTCGGTCAAATTAAATTTCTTGCAAATATAAAATCGATCGAATTGACATTCTGCCAAATTATAATTTGGACAATTAAATATTCTACTAAATTATAATTCAAATTAATAAAATGTAGGTAAAGTGGAAATTCCAAACATAAAAATTAGAATAATTTCAAATTTTTGAGAAAAAGAATTAGTGTAAAATAATATTCTTCATTATGCAGAATATATTGAATGATTATTCTCGACTTTTGAATTTCATTCAATATATAATTTAGTTTATTGAGGATTCGCGTATCTAGTCATTTCTAAATTATGTATTCGGCATAATGAGCATTCGGGACTTATGTTTTTGGTTGTGACGCGCCGAGTCTGATTCGCGCGGTAAAACTCTCAAAATTCAAATTTCAATTGTGAATTTAATATACTTTAGAGTTTAATTTTTAGAATTAAATTCAAAGCGGAATCCTCGACGATGAATGTTCGTTTTCCACAACAAAGAGCTAAGAAGCTCAACTCCCGCGGTGAAAAAACTATTAATTTGTTAATTTATAATTGTCAGGGATTATTGTTAGTAAATTTCGATTAAATTAAAGACTTCCAATTTGGTTCTATTTTAACTTTATTTTATTCCTTGAACAAGTTAATACTTCGGAAGTAGAACAATTTCTGACTTCTCGTTTTCCTCCGAGACCCTACGGTCCCATCCTGGGGGCCTCCGCCCCCACCCCCGAGTGCCAGGAAGGAAGGCGAATGTACGCCTCCTTTACTCTAATTCGTTAAAAAGAGAAAAAACCCAAAAAGGCGGAAAAGTATAGGTGTCTCTGATTTTTTGCTAACTATAGTCCATGCAGTAGGGATGACGAAACAAAAGCATCCCCTTTTTATTGCTCAGGCAAAAAAAAGGGTCTTGGGGTTTCATGGTAACCAGATGAGCGATTTACTCGAGTTTCTTTAAGAAGCAATAAAACCATAAATGTGAATTTCAAAAACGTGACAAATAACTAAAACATGTACTTATTTTTAGTGTTATACTCAAATAATCCTAAAATATTTATTACGGGAAGGATTAAGTTTCGTCGCCTCCACTGCATGCTCTATTGTATTTGAGTTTATGATTTTTTCCACTTAAGATTTTACTGTGGGAAAGTATTTTGTCGATTTGCCCATGTTGCTTGCCAATATTCTAAACTATACGTAAAAACTTCAATAAATTAAAATGTGTTTATTAGATTATTAATTGAATTATTATTTGAATAAAACCGCAAATTTAGTGCTACCTCTATCGAGAGACGAGCGTATCATGCGCATACGTCACATGGTACAGACGGTCGCACCCTGATTTCTCATACGAGCTACCGAGCTCGTATACGAACTCCTCGGTCCGTGTATCGAATTTTTTTCACTGGGTACTATGTAATGTTTTTTTCCCAAAATGAAAAAATGAGTTTGTAAACAATATTGTTATTGAGAAATAAAAATTATGCATGAAATTTGAATGAAAAGAATATTGAATGAAAGAATATGAAGATTAATAATATAGTTAATTTTAAAAACAAATTAAATTTAAAAGTATTTCAATTTTTGTTTTAAATCTTTAAGTACTGAAAAAATTTAGTAACAAAAATGAGAGAAGTAATAAATAGATAAGAAGGACTTTTTAAAAGATAATTTCAATATTGTTGAAAAAAATAGTGTAACATTCCTTTTGATAAAGAATTCTAGTCGAATAATAAATTATTCATTTTATTATATTATATACTGATTAAGAATACGCGATTTTGGTTAAATTTTACATCAATGAAATAAATTTTGATAAAAATGGAAATTTTGTAAGAAATATATATAAAAATACAAAAAAAAATTATAAATTATCCATCATTCGTTAAAAAAATGTTAGAAATAAAATTCTAATAGGAATTTTTTATAAAATTCTATCTCAAGAGCAAAAATAAGGTATAATAATATACATAATATATCTAATCTTATAAAAGCCTTTAATTTTTTTATTTTTATACTTTATATTATCCACGAAAAAAAACGTTTTAGTTAAAAATTATTTCTCTTCAGAAAGACTGAAAAAATAATAGTTGTAAAATAACATTATAACAATAAAAAAAACTAATTGAACTCAATGTTCCGAAGATGTTTTCCTTGAAAAGTTGACTCAAACTTAAAAGGTCAATATTTCAGATGACGTTTTTAAATTAGCAACGTAGTGTAAAATATTAAAATTTTGCAAACGAATTTGTGTGTATGAAGTATAAGAAGTTTTATTGCTTATTTAAGCTGATACAAGTTACAAAAACTTGGAATTTTGTTATGTTCTTTTGCAAGAGATTACTTCTCACTGTGTCAAGACGAATTCCTTTTTTTACATCTCACATTTTATGAATATTTTCTTTATTTACGCACATTCCGGCAGTCAAAATAATGCAATTATTATTCAAGTAAATATGCTTTTTTAAATTGAAAGAATAAGAAAGGAAAAACTACTATCTCTGGAAATCAATATATTTAATATATAAACATGAATAAAATATGTTGTTTTACTTTCATGTAACAATAAAAAGGGGATAAACTTATATGAATAAAGGTTATTTAGATGTCTGTAGATGTCATTAATAGAAAATCGCCTCCAGGTATTTTTTTTTAAACAATTAAATACCTACTCTTTCGACATTCGGAATTTAAAAATAATATATTTTTTTAAAGGTGTATAAATTTTTTTTCCAAATTTCTTATCATCATTAACAACTGTTGACATTTGTGTGCGACTACCAAGAAATGAGTTGAAATGAGATTTAAATTATCATAAAATAACTATACTTTATCATTTAATTTACAATATGCATCAAAGTTTTTAATTTAATGTTAAATCACTCAAACATATAAAAGTATCGATTTTATTACTGACAATATTATTAAATAAGCATTCGTTAGATTATTAAAATATTCTCTTGCGGATATATTATTTTTAAAAGTAACTACTACAACAACTATTTTTTGATATCAATGTGAATAAAGTTTTCTCAGAAATCGAGAAGTTTATATTAGAGTTAAATTTATGTGTATTTTTTTGCACTAATTTTCTTGTTTTCTGCATACATACTAAGCACTTTTATTGTCGGACATTGAGAACTTAAGATTTCTTGGTCAATTAAGCAGTAATCAATGTTTAATAGAAACTGGATTTCAAATGATCTTTACTCCATTTGAAATATTCAAAAATTAACCTCAATAAAGCAATATTCTTTTAATGAGTCAATTTTTATATTTTCTAAAAAAATTTTTATCTACAATTAATATTAAAAATAAAAGTAAGTCTTGTAGTATTTTGATATTTTAATTTCATACTGAGCACAATGAAAAATCTTGTTGATTTTTCAAGGTTTTTAATAAATAATAAAAATAATTATATTTTTCAATTAATTAACTAATTAGTTTATAATATTTTATACGGTTTATTTCCTTAAATTAAACAAATGTGCCGTTATTGGGACCAAATTTTCTAGTGATAAACAAAGCTGTATACTTGTATACAATAAATTTTAATTTTATAAATTTATTTCTAATTTTTAAATCTCACGTAATTTATGTATGCGCTTTCGTTACGCGTAATAAGTAAACAATTTGTAATAATTAATTACAAGTGTCATTGAGTCATATTATAAAATATATTAGAAAAGTAGTGGTTCTTAATAGCAGTTTAATAAATCGTCGATTATTGAAATGAAAAATGGAAAAAAATTAATGTTTCCCGATAAAATAAAGAAATATTCAAATCAAAAGTATTTTCAATTTAAACGTAAAATCATTTTTATTTGTTTTAATTTAATATCTATTGAAGTTTTCTTTTCAAGTTTATATATATATAAATATAAATCACAATACTTCATAATTTTAACCTTTGCTATAGAATAAAGCAATAACTCTTTTTATAATATTTTTTGCATTATTTGCGTCTATAATGTAGTAATTTATACAAATTAAATCTGCCTTATAAAAAAAGAAGAACAATAGAATCTCATTGAGTATACTCTTAGGATTTTGTTCAAAAAATTGTTAATTTTATAATATTATAAAGAAATTGCAATAACAAATTTTATTATATTTCTATAGGACGGTAAAGCAATTTTCAAGCGTGGATAAATATCTACTTTATATATGTATTGTATATGTGAGCTGCCGAAAAGTAAAACCACTAATATAAAATTTGTTCAGACGTTTCCATTGGCATGTAATATCTAAAAAATTAATGTTTCAAACATAAATTTTAGCCAAATTTATCTTTTGAAAACAGAAAAAATAAATTAAACTTAACTTTCCGGCGGCTCATGTAATAAACTATTTTAAAAATAAAAATATATAATTTATTGATAATTAGTTTATGGTAGAGTAAATTAATTATTGTTAGATTAGAAATTAAAAATAAAAATTTCTATAAGAAAAAAATATTCGAATTAAAAAATTTTAATGTAAAAGAAAGAAAAAGGAAAAAAATGAAATGGTAGAAGGAATAAGAATTTTTCATAATATATGAATCACATGTGAGATGTAAAAAAGGAACCATTGCTTGGTTTTTAATGAATTCATATAGATATATAGAAATATATGTTTTATACCCTTAAGCGCACTTGAGAGGGGATAGCCTTCATATATATTATGGATAAGCGAGCTAAAGTATCAGTTGATTTTTAAACTTTGAATACCTTCACGTATATAACAAAAATTTGTTAAATAATTAATATATGTGGTATGTAAGACTTTCTTTAAACATATCATCAAATATGAATACAATTGTGGCAGGATTACTTTTAATATTTGTTGCTGCAACCACTGCGGCAAATTTGCGTAAGTAAATGTTAATTTAAAAAAAAGTAGATCCCTATAAAGAATATCTTTGTAAAAATTGTAACTTCTAAGAATGAAAAAATAATACTTTTCAATAATTAAATAGAAATCTATTGAAATTATTTTCAAATTTATTATAAAAATACATTAAATCCATAAATAATTAAATACATTATTAAGTAGTAATAATAAAGTTCAAAAGTTTGTTAATTTTAAATTTCACATATTAATAATATATACTGAAATTTAATAATAAATAGTAATAAATAAATAATAAATCTAAGATTATTATAAAACTAACGATTTATAGGACAATATTCTAACCCTCTAAGTAATTTAATTTGACATCAGAAAATTTTAATATAATTTAAATTCTTATTTTTAAACTCATTAGAAAACATTTTTTGAATTGAAAAAATTATATATATAGGGGAACATAGTCGAGGTCGGCCCAATTTTTGACTTTTGTTTATATTTTTTTTTAAAAATGAATTTGGACAATTGAAGTATATGGTTGGAAAGTCCAGTTTAATAGGAACATATTGTCTGTACAAAGTAAATTGATTGGTTTTAAAATGAAAAAGTCGGCCATGTTTAAAATTCAAAGGGCATTAATCGTTAAAAAATAAAATAACATGTTTGGAGTTACGGAAAATTGATTCTTTATTGTTTACAGTTTGTATCTTAATGAAATAACAAAATAATAAAAATAAACAATATAGAAAAATAAATATAAATAAAAAAAAAATTTTGCACTAAAATATTAATAAAATTAAATAAAAATATTAATAAGATGATCAATTATATTATGAGTTATTCAGAATCGCAGTTTTTGAAAATGAAGTAGCTCGTCCTCATCTTTGCGCATTTTAAACACAAAGTGGCCGACCTTGACAGAAAGTAACATTACCGAATTGTTGTAACGAAAAAGAAATACGTTTCGAGATTTGATTTTTCACTTTGATTTTCTTTCAACCATAAGTCCCACAAAATTTCTGCATGCTTGCCTTGACGATTCAATTTTTTTTTTATCTTTTATTAATGATTTTTCACATGATGCACAAAACTTTTTTTGAGCTTTTTTTTTGTACCGACGTCACAGAAAACACAATTTTCGATTCTCAGAAAATGTAATTGAACAAAAAGCTAGGTTTCACTAAGACAAGCTTCGACAAGCATGCGCGTAGGTGGCGCTAGTGAACTTGACAAAAAAACGCGAATGGCCTCTACCTAGACAGTGGTCCAACCTCGACTATACTCCCCTATATTTATATAAATCTATTATTGAAGAAATATTACTTTCTTATGTAATGAGAATGTAAAAAGTATATTTTATACTTTTATTAGGAGCAATAAATACATTTCTATATTAATAACATAATAAAACGTTCTCTGCGTCGTTTAGCCGAAACCTTCATATCATGCAAGAAATCTGATCCAAAATGGATAGAATGCTTAGGAGATGCTTCAATTGATGCAGTTAGAAAATTAGGGAAAGGTATAAAAATATAAAAATAATGTTGTAATTTTTTATAAAATATTATTATTTATTCTAAATAATTTCTTTCAACAGGTTTAAAAGCATATAAAATATTGCCACTGGACCCGCTTAAAATTAGCGGTATTTCAATCGGCGAAGCAGGCGGATCTGTGTCTGTTAAACAAGAATATAAAAATGTTGAAGTTCATGGTCTCACGAAAAATTTAGAAAAACGAAATTTCAAGTACGTATTTTAAATATGCATCTTTTTTAATGAATCAACTGTAATTTTCATACTTTACACTTTCAAGGGGAAGCTTTCATTTAATTTACATACCATTTATCTAAAAATATTTTTTTATTGGGAATATAAATTTTTGATTTTGTTTATTTTACTGATACGTGAAATAAAAAGAATTAATATTTCAAAAATTTTAATATTTTAGTTTCGATTGGGACAAACTTATACTTTCAATTGAAGCATACAACCCTCAAGTTGATTTTGTAGGAAAGTATAAAGTTGAAGGAAAAGTTTTATTATTACCAATAAGAGGTTCCGGAGACTCCAACATTACTATGTGTAAGTATTAGGCATAAGAAAATTTTAAGTTTTCTTTAATATGTATTGTAATAATTTTTCATTTTTCATTTCAATTTGTTTTCATTAAAAATTTTTTTTTTCAATTTCTTTGAAATCAAATTCTAAACGAAAATTTCAAAACTGAATTTTAAAGAATTTAATTAATTTTATAAACCAATATTTATTTCTTAATGTTAATTTTAGTATATTGTTTAATTATATTAAACAAAATTAAACAATATTACTCATATGTATCATATGTATTATATTATGTAAAGGGTATTTTTCACCTGTTTATCTACTAAATAAATAAATAAATAAATAAATTATAAATTTACATTTTTATTTACATTTAAAATTTAATAATTTTTTAAATTTATTAGAAATATTATTAATGTTAGAATATTAACAATATTTATGAAATTTCAGTGAATCTGATTACTAGGGTCAATTTACAATTTGAAAAATATACAAAAAATGGAGAGGAATATGCGAAAATAAAAACTTTTAAAGTCAAATTTATACCAGAAAAAGTTCATTTAATCTTTAAAAATCTTTTCGATGGAGATCCAGTCTTAGGTAAGTTACCCAAGTTTTCTCTCTTAATTTTTTCCCCTTAATTTAAGAGAGTTCATTAAATAAAAGGTAGATAAATATATATTTATAATCATAATTTTATAATATATTATAGCTTTACTACCTATATTATTACAAAATTATAATATCCAATGATCTTTAATATATAAAAATTAATATTAAATAATTATTAATTAAATTATTAATTAATTATAATTAAATAATAATTAAGAGTTTAATAATTACATAATTACATACATTAGTAAAATTTATAATAATTTTCAGCTCCACCAATGGAAAAATTCTTGGATGAGAATTCAGATATATTATTTAAAGAACTTCAATCTTCATATGAAACTAGTTTTGGTTTAGTTTTCAAACAAATAGGAAATGAATTATTTAGTCGAGTAACATTGAAAGAAATATTTCCAGAATGATTTTTTAAGACAAGTTTAAATATTAGTCAAAGATTTATATATATATATATATATATATATATATATATATATATATATATATATATATATAAAATTTGCATGTGAAGAAATCGTGTAAGAAAATAAAATCAAACATTTTATAAACAAATTGAAATTTATTTGTCCCTAATGCATGATAAATGATTTTATTAAAGATTTTTGTTTTTGTTAAATTTGAAAAGAATTGAATTTCGTCGCCAATTTTTATATTGGTAAACCTGATTCTGTCATATGTGCTATATTCACGTTATACGTTTTTACGCTGACATTGGATTGTATCTTTACCTCCTTTAGGCATTTTTGTTTGGAAATTGTTTTGATTAGAGTGATTAGAGTTAATTGATTAATTGGATTACATAAAAAAAATATGTATTGTTGTACTCTGCATTATTGTAATTAATGGAAACTACTTTAAATTGTCTTGGTTATAAGAAAATTTAATCGTCTTCAATAATAATAGTAAGACAATTAGTTGTAATTATAACCTTAAAATTACAAATAATTACATAAAACATGCAAAACAACAAAAAATATTTGTTTAATCGCATTGGAACTGTCTCCGATATGATTGGATTGGATAAAGCGGAAATAGAATTTGAATTAAACAACAAAATTGAAAAAGCTTTATTATGGAAGAACAAATTTTTCTATTATGGAAAACACGTTCCAGAAAGTGAACATCTCACTGATTATATTATTGTTGGATCCAAGGTAAATTTATTAAAATTATTTTGTTTACTAGCTAGAATGTAGTGCAGAATCTGATTATTATGTCAAAAAGTATTTATTATAAGTTTACTTGTATAAAATAAAACAAAACAAAAATTAATTTATTTTCAATTATGTATTTCTTTAACTGAAATTCATATTTTAATTTCTATTTGTTAATTACCACTTTTAACGAAATATTAATTTTTTTTAAACACATGAAAAAATTATTTAATATTTATTTTATAATCACAATTTTTATACAAAATTTTCCTTACTTTTTTAATATTTAAAATATTTTTTACATGTGCACTTTTTTCTATTGTTTTCGTACTTAATTAATTACTGCACATTTATTTGAAAATTTCAAAACTTGATTTTTGGCAATTGTGCTATATGTTTATTATTTAAAGTACGCCTTTCCGCAATTTCTGAACACGATTTTGGAATTCTAGAACTCTATTTTAAAATTTACGAAATCATTTTTAAATATTTGGACATTCATCGATTTAGAATCTTATTTTGTTAAAATCATGAGTTTTTTTTAGAAAAAGACAGGGTTGCCACGCAACCTGGAAAACCTGGAAATGTCAGGGAATTTTAATCGGAATCCTGGAAAATTATTGTTTTCTAATGTTATTGTGCTTATTCTTGAAATCTAATTTTACTTAAATATTTCAAAAATAATTCAATTTTAAAAGAGTTGCGTTTACAATTTTCATAAATAGATAAACTTCAAAAAGTTTTAATTCGCAATTTTATAAAATTTTAATTTTGAATGAATTATAATTAAATAATAAAAATTTTACAGGAATTCTATTATTTACAAATTCTTTATAAATTTCTTCGCAATAATTTAATTATTTTCAGAAATAATAAAACTCATCGCAAAATTTCAATTATTTTTAATACAAATTTTAATCGAATTTCTCGAAAAAAGTAATTTTATTCTTAAAATTTTTATTAAAATTCATCAAAGAAATTGTATTATTTTAAAAAGCCTTCCTATAATTTATTTATTAGAATTTACGTATTATTGTCAATACATTTTTAATTAATATAAATTTCTTGAAAGAATTAAATTATTTTCAAAAATTTTAATGAAATTCTTTTTAACAATTCAATTTTTTTCCAAATTAATTTTTATAAAATTCTTTGTAGAAAGGGCTTAGGGGGTTAAGTGTGCAAAAACTGCCCCCGCATCTATTTTTCTCAAATTTGGCCCATATATTACTATCCATATAACTATAACTTTCTGCAATTTTGAACTCAAAATTCGCTTTTTTGGGGGAGTTATGGAGGGGGAAAGCAAAATCAAAAAACTTATTTTTCTCGAAAACTACTGAACCGATTTTAATGAAATTTTAAGAGGTTGTAAATATAGATAAGACAATTTTAGAAAAAAAAATCAAAATTTTTTTTTCAAAAAAAATTTTTGAAAAAAATTTTTGAAATTTTCAAAATTTTTTTTAGGGTTATTTTTTGAAGTGACCACTTTCTCTTTTGTTGTAAAAAGTACCTTATAATGTCCCCTTTAACATATATTTTTTCCAAATTTTTTAAAAATATAGTTTTTGAGTAAAATGTCAAAAACCATGGTCATGCTATTTGCCACGTACGGTTATGCACATAATTATATACATATGGGCAATTTCATGTGATAGGGTATAGCCAAATAAGTATGGAAAAAGTGACCCAAATATATTTTTCCCCATTCATTCCTACCTACTTAAAAATAACTTTTTGAAATTTTTAACTCAAAATTTTGAGTTTTTTGGAAATTATGGAGAGGAAAAAAAATCGAAAAACGCATTATTCTCAAAAACTACTGTATGCATTTTAATCAGCTTTGAATATGTTGAAAAGACAATTAAAGAGATTCCAAAAAATAATTTCAAATTTTTTTTTCAAAAAATTTGAAAAATCTTTTTTTTTGAAAATTTTAAAATGAAAATTTTTTGAAATTTTCAAAAAAAGATTTTCTAGTTCTATTAAAGTGACATTTTTATGTATTTTCTCATTTCATTCTCTTGTGTGATCTACTCAATATTTAAATTTTGTCCGACATGATTTTAGGGTGTGTCACGGTAAATAACTCAAAAACTTACCCGGTACATTTTTATGTTGTATGTAAATGGTTAATTAATTAATTATTTATTTAATTACAAATTAATACTAATGGGTTTTCTGAATACAAATCTGTAATCGATGTCAAAAAAAATTATTTCCAAATAAAAATCCAAAAAATGCATAAGTAGTTTTTGAGAATAATGCGTTTTTCGATTTTTTTTCCTCTCCATAAGTTCCAAAAAACTCAAAATTTTGAGTTAAAAATTTCAAAAAGTTATTTTTAAGTGGGTAGGAATGAATGGGGAAAAATATATTCGGGTCACTTTTTCCATACTTATTTGGCTATACCCTATCACATGAAATTGCCCATATGTATATGGGGCGGTATTAATCCTACACAAATAAACTCTACACAAGAAAATTCTTCACCGCTAACTGTACACGAGAAAACTCTCAAAAGAATTTTAAAAAAAATAATGCTACACAAGTAAATACAACATCCTAAAACCCTACACAGTAAACTGAAAACTAAAAAACTCTCACCGTAAACTGCACACGAGTAAACTCTACACATGCATGAAAAAATGAAAATAACATTTTCAAATAATTCCACACAAATAAATCCTACATTAGTAAACTCTCCACAGCTCTAAAAATTAATTAATGAATTCTTTTTATTATACTACACAATTAAATTCTACACATGAAAATTGTCATTAATCATTTTGGTTTATGTCTAAATTTCTACACAATTAAACTCAACATTTGTAAATTCTACACATAAAATGAAACTTAATAAACCCTACACAAGTCAATTCTACACATTATGTGAAAATTAAACTCCACACGAGGTAACTGTACACATGTGTCATTTGTTGTTAACAATTAAATGTCGTTACGAAAGAGACAAAAGAGAAACGTTTTCCAAACAACAAATGACACATGTGTACAGTTACCTCGTGTGGAGTTTAATTTTCACATAATGTGTAGAATTGACTTGTGTAGGGTTTATTAAGTTTCATTTTATGTGTAGAATTTACAAATGTTGAGTTTAATTGTGTAGAAATTTAGACATAAACCAAAATGATTAATGACAATTTTCATGTGTAGAATTTAATTGTGTAGTATAATAAAAAGAATTCATTAATTAATTTTTAGAGCTGTGGAGAGATTACTAATGTAGGATTTATTTGTGTGGAATTATTTGAAAATGTTATTTCCATTTTTTCATGAATGTGTAGAGTTTACTCGTGTGCAGTTTACGGCGAGAGTTTTTAAGCTTTCAGTTTCCTGTGTAGGGTTTTAAGATGTTGTATTTACTTGTGTAGCATTATTTTTTTTAAAACTCTGTTGAGAGTTTTCTCGTGTACAGTTAGCGGTGTAGAATTTTCTTGTGTAGAGTTTATTTGTGTAGGATTAATACCGCCCAATTTTCATGTGTAGTATTTAATTGTGTAGTATTATAAAAAGAATTCATTAACTCATTTTTATAGCTGTGGAGAGTTTACTAATGTAGGATTTATTTGTGTGGAATTATTTGAAAATGTTATTTTCATTTTTTCATGCATGTGTAGAGTTTACTCGTGTGCAGTTTACGGTGAGAGTTTTTTAGTTTTCAGTTTACTGTGTAGGGTTTTAGGATGTTGTATTTACTTGTGTAGCATTAGTTTTTTTAAAATTCTTTTGAGAGTTTTCTCGTGTACAGTTAGCGGTGTAGAATTTTCTTGTGTAGAGTTTATTTGTGTAGGATTAATACCGCCCCTATGTATATATGTGCATTACCGTACGTGGCAAATAGCATGACCATGGTTTTTGACATTTTACTCAAAAACTATATTTTTAAAAAATTTGGAAAAAATATATGTTAAAGGGGACATTATAAGGTACTTTTTACAACAAAAGAGAAAGTGGTCACTTCAAAAAATAACCCTAAAAAAAAATTTTGAAAATTTTGAAAATTTTTTTCAAAAATTTTTTTTGAAAAAAAAATTTTGATTTTTTTTTCTAAAATCGTTTTATCTATATTTACAACCTCTTAAAATTTCATTAAAATCGGTTCAGTAGTTTTCGAAAAAAATAAGTTTTTTGATTTTGCTTTCCCCCTCCATAACTCCCCCAAAAAAGCGAATTTTGAGTTCAAAATTGCAGAAAGTTATAGTTATATGGATAGTAATATATGGGCCAAATTTGAGAAAAATAGATGCGGGGGCAGTTTTTGCACACTTAACCCCCTAAGCCCTTTAATTAATTTCAATAATTTATCAAAATTCAATTATTTTCAATGTATACTATTTCAATAAAATTTCACAAAAGAATTCAATTATTTATAAAGAAATTTAATAAAATTTGTCCCAAGATTCAATTATTTTCAAAAGCAATAAAATTCTTTTTATGGTCAAGAGTTTAAAAAAATTCTCTTCAAAATTTCAATTAGGGTAAGTGTGTCAATTGTGGCGGGTGCTCCAATTATGGCGACTTTGTAAAAAATAGAATTATTTACTATTTTAGAATAATATAGTTATTTGAAAATGATAGAAAAAGTTATTTTCGACCTTACTCGATATAATTGTACGAAAAAAAACACATTTGAACTATTATTGGTTTAATTATTTAAGTACAAAAATTGTGCCCCGCCATAATTGGCACATTTTCATTGAATGTGCGTGCTCCAGTTATGGGGCGCAACACAACCTCTAAATACACGTTATTTTCCCCGCCGTAATTGGCGCGCCGAAATTGACTCAACCGCGCCATAATTGACGTTTTTAGTCCTAATTCTTATTGCTTTAATTTTGTTTAAATAATTAATTTTTATAAAGTTTTTATAAAAGTTTTATTATCTATATGACACGGGCTTTTAGTTTAATAAGCCATAAATTTACTTCTTTCATTATAATTTTTGAATTTTCTATTTCAAAGACGGCTAAACCAGA